AATAAAATATAATCAAAACATTTTAATTAATCCAGACATTTATATACATGTTTTCTGTCCTATTTGTGTCGTCCCCATTTGGTGCTTATCGACTCACGCATTTTATTTAATCTAATGTTTATTTGAATTATTTATCAGATTTTATAGTACAATATTTATGATGATCTGGACAATATATAGAAATGTTCATCCCAATATAATATGTAGATAATCTTATGATAATTTAAATTTTATTATTTCGTCTATCAACAAATTACATATATCTATACTCGTAATTGAGTATTGAGTTCACTTATATTTGATTGATATTGGAACAAAGCGTCACGTGAAAAGTGATTTTTTTTGGTATCGAAGCGCATTATAATTGTGTCAGTGTTTCACGTGTGTTGCAATAAAGCGCATTCCTTAGCAACAAAATGAAAGATTTGATTATTTGTCTCTCAGTAAAAACATAATTCATCGAGTGCAAGCGAAAACAAATTTGGAGAAACAATGGTTGACACTATTGATTTATGAGTTTATGATTAAAAGAAAACTTATGTTTGTTATTTATATTTATTACTAATATTGATTGACAAACATCGGATAGTAGGGACAGCACTATTTACATCGCACTCTTCACAATATTTAATCTGTCAATTATTAATTTGTCAATAGTTTATATTGGCAATACTGCATTTTTTAATGAAATAATCGTCGAGACTATTGATTTATGAGGTAATGATTAAAAGAAAAATTATGTTTGTTATTTATATTTATTATTATTATTGATGGACAAATATCGGATTAGTGCGGACAGCACTAATTAACTCGTACTTTTAACAATATATAATCTGTCAATTATTCGTTTGATTAACTAATCAATATTTAATGTTGGCAATACTACTACAAATATTCAAATACAGCAAGACCTCGTTTAGCGCATCCTAAGTTCCTAGAAGACAAGTACTAAAAGAAATAGCGTTAAACATATTTTTAGTTTTGAACATTTTTAGGCTTCGAGTACATCACGATATATCGAATCAGCGTTAAGTGTTAGCAAAATAGTCAACAATTTAAACAATTCATAAATTAAAATGATTATGTAAATGAAGTCAAATCTTTGTAATAAGTATCAGTTTATTAAAAAAATATATATATAAATTGTACATTAAAAATAAGTAGTATTAAAGAATTGCTAATGGATATCGAAAAAGTCGCTTAAACGTAGACAATCCAAATTTTGGATAACATGACAAATATGTTTATTTTTCCTCATTTCACAAGAGCTTTAAATAAAATGTTAAATAGCGGAAACAAAACACAAACAAGACGAGGCGCGTGGCCTTGTTTGACTGATTTCGAATCGATACTTCATGATTTATTTAGGAATCCGCGAAAGTTCGGAATATGTTTTGCAAATAAATCAAGAGACATAATATTTCCGCGTCGCACGTGGGAGCAAGAATCAAATAAATTTGAATTTTATTAACATCACAAACTATTCACGCGTCGCTTTTTTTTCTGTTCCTAAATGTTCGCGCGCGTGTTTTTTTTTTAATTTTGGATAACAATAATACGTTCATAAATATTAATGTTTCTTTTACAGGAATCGAAAATTCCTTGTACGTTTCCGGCGCTACATTACAAGTTTTCAATATAAAAGTCAAGTTTAATATGATCCAGACTAATGGTGATTAGTCCGCATAAAACGCAAGATAATCTTAGTTTTATTTTTACTACTAGAAATGGATCAGGTCAAGTTGATGGGAGTTTTTTTTTCGCTCTAGAAACCAACGAAAGTGCTCATTATCCGATTACGTAAAATTATGCACGTACAAACGGTATTTGGGTGTAGACAACCAACCGTACGGCGTTTGAATTTGAATAGCGTGCGGTCAACTGAGCGAACACACTGCAGCGCTTCGGAGCACAACCTGCCCAAAGATTAGATAAAGTTTCAGGTTTTTTTTTTCCTATTACGATGCCTGAGGCAAGAAATACAATAATTAATGCAGTCGCACGACTCACCTGTACGAAGAATCGGTCTAGGCGTTGTAGAAATTATTTTTTGGGAGTTAAAAGTTTGAGCGGCAGTGTTTTCTGAAAAATTCAAAACTATTAGGAATTGTATTCGTGGCAGGTGCACGTTACAAATCGCCACGTCATTATAATAAGTTTAAAAATGTAAACAAATGCTTTTACTAAAACTGGCGTGATTTCACCTGAAACGAATTTTAGGAAGCTGGTGCGATCTAATTTGTTTAAGTGTAAACTAAGGATGTATGTCGTCCTTGTCCTTTATTTTTTGGAAGAAGAATAATTTCAACAATTTCTAAGCTGTGGCCATTTCAAGTTACTGTTTACCCAGGAAATTGCCAAAGCTCAGGAACAGTTGCAAATTTGACGACGATGATGATGATGATGATTTTCCACAGAACACCTACGTTGCATTACGTTCTATTGCTTTTTATTTCACGATCTAAACAATCGGTGGATTTCAGGAGGTTACTGACCTGATCTAATAATAGGATGGTAATTTGAAGACAGTACTGGAGCATTCATAAAAACTAGTTGAGTTGCACTATCTGCAAAATAAGTTTCGTTTAGGATAGGCTATGTTAGTAAACGAACTAGAAACAGTTAGTAGTAGTCTTTAAAGCTATAGTATAAATTTCGAGCTTACTGTGAAGTAGAGCCACTGGTTGTGTAATATTGTGCATTCCTTGCTGAGCGTTGATGTCCATAAGAGGATCGAAAATAACTACGAAAGGATGTATATAGTTTTTTTGTGTTTTATAAGTTAGGCGGTGTTGGGAGTTTAGCAACTTACAAGTCTCTTGTTCCATCTGCTTTTTGATTATTTCTAATTCTTTACGTTTGATGAATTTGCCACGAAAGTATTCGTAACCATCTTTAGGTGCATATTCCGAATTGTCCACGTAATCGTGACAGATCCAGCGGCCTCTTCGGAAGGGGTGTATACTTTCTACTTTGACTACTTGGAAGCGACCTATGAACCGACCTGGAGATGGAATATGTGAGGTGGATGAGGAAGAGGAAGTTATTATTTTTATTGGACTGGAAGCTGCGTTGGAAGAGGTCGGTTCTTGAGGTGCTTCATCGCTAGCAGTCATGACGGCGTTCACGCATCTTTTCAGGATGATCTCCTCGCAAGCACAGTAGTCGACGTCCTCGGTATACTGTGAATATGAAGTATCCTCAGAGAATGATGGAGTTTCGATGTCGGTCTGCCTGGAGAACTCTTCGCTATCATCTGGCGAATCGCACGTGGCTGCATCAGCTCGTGTACTAACACCTGTTACCACGAACGATGCAGATGACACCGTCTTTTTAGTATGCGGTGGGGGCAGATTTGATGGCCTGTGATTAGCATCCGTCTCTCCTCCAATCCGTATCGTTTCACTTGTAGTCCTCTGGATAACCCTATTATTGTTGTGCCTCCGACGCGGCATATTCCCATACGCGAAATCAGACCAAATTTATTGAACAATGAGGCACTACCGGTGTAAACGATCTGTCAGCCGAACACATTTCACGGAGGTGTTGAGGTAGTATTAAAGCGTACAAATGCGGGATTTTCCGGCCACATATCCGCAGGACTGGCTGGCAAAATAAATTGATTTTTATCCTGCCGCTCTGCGCCTACGCTACTGTCAAGGACGCATACTGGCGACAAAACTACCCTTACGACACAAGATCGGAATTGGGATCCGGATCAGGATATTATCCTCTACTTTCAGCGCTGCAAACCCTTGACATACCAAATCATACTTCTACCAACTCTATCCATGCGTAATGTTTGATCAGCTTATTTTTTTTTATTTATGACCACCAAATCTCTACATACACACAACAACCGACTGACTTCAAACATTCTTTACAGATTGAAGGCTAACTAATGGAATTTAATCCTAATTTAAGTGCGCAATATTTAACTATAATTAACGTTCTTTCCTACTTGTAGCAATCCACTACTTAATGAAGCTGAATCAATTTTATGAAAAGCCTACGCTCGTAAACAGCTCATAATATACGTTACAAGATGCCGCAAACAAACTCTAAAACAATAACTGGTAGCTAATCTGTAATTGTTTAAACAAGATTTTATCTAAATCTTCTTAACGAAAGCAAACTAGAAATGTGCCTCATAAATTTTACCGAATTCAGTAGCTGGTGGTTAAGTGAATAACATGGACGAAAAGTCGGTGGAAACGGAAGAGCCCAAAAGGGGTTTCTTCTCGGTTAACAAAAAACTGATCATGCTGAAGTTAACGCTCTTCTTTCTGTACGGCGGTATGTATCAAAGTAAAACATTGGTAATACAAATGTTAATAATTAAAATTATTTTAGCCAATTCCTCCTTAATGCCCTACTTGACAATTCACATGCAAAGCATTGGTCTCACAGTTCGACAAATCAGTATAATATATCTAACCCTTCCATTAACCACCTTCCTTACACCACCAATAACAGGTTTTCTAGTGGACAAATTTGGGCAATACAAGCCAGTAGTCATAATTTCATTTCTAATGACTGCCCTTGTCCATCATGCTCTGTTCATAATACCCCATCAGGAGATTCCAGGGACAGAACCGGAAGCTTACGTGATGCGTCATTCCAGGGATCACGTAGAAGTTTGGTGGAGTCCATGCCCAAGCAGAGAATGCACCGACGAAGAAGAAATTAACGTCGTCCTTGGCGAGTGCTTCGATCATTGCCTCCTAAAGCCGAGGAATCAGACCACCGCAAACGCTTCTATGCACTTAGCGAATCAGGATGGGTTTAGGAAGGAAGGGTAAAGTTCATTTCATTGCTCCATCCTCCCCCTCAATTACGGCACAGCGCTTACGCAATTACGCTCAATTGACGTTTATAAATAAATCCGGGACGACAAGTTCAAATCCATTGCAGGCAATTTAAGGCAATTGCCTTATCCTTTCTGCATAATAACTGACCGGTGTTTCAAATTGCTAATTTCCCCATTAAAACATGGCGAGCACAATGTGATTTTTTTTTTGCGTGTCACTTTTAATATCAATTCCGAACCCTCCAAAGCAAATAAGATAATCATAATCCCGTTCGCCTCGTCAAACATTGAGTGCTCTAAGCTCATTGTAAACACTCGATTGCTTAATGTTACAGGCCGGGCGTTTTGTTCGTTCTTGATATGCATCCAGATTTGGGAGATCCTGTCGAAGTGCTAGGAATCGAGCTAGAGTCTAAGGAAGATGATACTGCCATAGAGTTTAAGGTGCGCTTCACAGAGAAGCTATTAACACAGGCGGGTGTTAATTTCACTGAATTAGATAACAGCGACTTGAGATGTGGTGGTATTGTCCTACGCCACAACAACACGGGGGATTGGGCTGGAGATTGTATTGTACAGAAATGTAAATTCCATCAGGGCGGACCAGAAATTTGTCCACCAGATTTTAAAGAGACTGATAACAAGACTTACTGGATTTACTTCGTTTTGAGATTTGTTGGAAGTATTATGATGACTGCTGGTGTTACAATTATGGATCCGATTGCATTAACTATGATTGAGAAATACGGCGGTGATTTTGGCCGTGAGAAATTATTTTCCAGCATGGGCATGGCTTTGTTCTCACCAATTACCGGAGTATTAATTGATTACAGCAGTAAATATTTGGGATATACGAATTATTCCCCAGCTTTCTTCACATACGATGTATTGATGGTAATTTCGGCAATTGCTGTTTATTTGATGCCGTTAGGCAGCAAGCTTCCTGCAGACAATATTTTCAAAGACATGATTAATATCTTCAAAATGCCGAATGTTATTATTTTCATTATATTTATGTTCCTGCTTGGTAATCCTTGGGGTTTCATAGAGAATTACCTGTTCTTATACCTTAAGGATTTAGGTGCTCCAAATGCACTTTTAGGAGTTACTGTTACCGTCGGAACTTTAAGTTCTATGCCATTTTTGTACGGAGCGGAGAAGATAACCAAGAAAATCGGGCACGTTAATATTATAATTATAGCATTCTTCGCACATTCAGCAAGGTTAATGGGATACTCATTCATAGAGTAGGTGATACTAGTTTTGTGCATTTTAGACGTATTAATATGATGTTTTAGGAGCGCCTGGTGGTGCTTCCCGTTCGAAGCAATGGAGTCTCTCTCGGTGCATCTTATGTGGGTTGCTGCAGCTACATATTGCGCGGTCATAGCTCCTAAAGGACTTTTAGCAACTCTCATAGGTGTGATAGGAATGGCTCACTTTAGTATAGGTAAGTGCAATATCACATGAATAAATGAGTAATAGTACAGTGATTCTTTAGGGAGAGGTAGCGGTAGTTTCATAGGTGGTAGATTAATCGGAGAATATGGTATCCGTGAGGCATTCAGACTTATGGGTACAGCCTCTGTAGTATTTGGTGTAGCGTACGCCGTTCTCCACATGTGCTGGCTTAGAAAAATTGAAATAATCTATCAGGAAGAAGGTAATTAATTTAATTGTCGCTTTAGAAAACGAACAAGTGTAATGTTTAGATATGATCGACGAAGTGAAGCCTGAACCTGAGCCAAAGACTCGTGATCAAGGTACGATGGTCAGCTTCGAGCGGTTGAGCTTGATCATTGAATACAATCAAGTTGGGTCATTGACCTCATTGGGTCGTTTCGTAAATAAAATGGACGGTGAGGTGTTGAAGCGCGCTCGCCGAGGCAGCGATAGTTTCGGGATGTTCAAAAGATCCCGTGGCAGCGCTTCCAAAGTGGATCTGCTTAAATCTGCAACCGAAGTTAATCATTCCAGGAATTCATTCAAAACCTCAGCAGGTCAATTGAGTAGACAAAATGGAAGTAGTACAAAGGTAATATTTGTTTTTAAAATCATTTATTTGTATAATGTATATAAACAAACAAGAATTGTATGAAATAAATTTAACAAAAAGTATTTTTTGTTTGATCGAGAAACATCGAAAAATCAAATTTTGTATAAAATTGATATAAAAATAATATAACTATGAAATGAATATTCAATAATCAATGATAAAGCAAAAAAATAAATCAGTAATTCAATTAACTACAACTAAATTAAAAATTAATAGGATATACTTTATTTCAGATGATGATTGATGGTAGGACATCAAGTGCACCAAGGCTAGCGTCTCAAAAGAGCTCAAGTTTAAGTCCAATTCAAGCCAAAGAATTGGAAAAATTAATACCAGATGAAGCAGAAGAATTAATTTATGATAATGAGAAGTAGTAAAATAATTAAGCAAACTGTAATGATACTAAGCAAAGCAATGAATGATTGATTAATGAGTAAGCAAAGCAACGTTAATTTCCTTTACCATTCTAACCCTGTGAAGCATCTTTTCCAACGCCGGTTTATCTAAAGCCATCGTAGAGTACCAGACAGGACTATCTGGAACACACGATCTTTCAGGTAGTAAATAAAATACATCATTTCTAGTTTTCACGCTCTCTGGACACTTCGAAAGGTAGAATTCGTAAAGTTTTACAGGACACCTAAGCGGATTTAGTTCGTTTTCCTGCTGTTCGTATACCTTTTTCTTCCTCAAGTTACTTTCTAACGACCTTTGAGGTGGATAAAATCGTAGCAGTACATTTCTGGAACCGGTCTGCTTCGCGGTTGGTTGGTTCGGATGTCTCTTCCAATGTTTCATTATGTGGGAGAACGACAATTGCATGTGTTCATCGACCGACTGAAACCAATGATAAATATGCAAGTAATTTTGCTATGATGTCAATTGCTCCTGAAAATCATGTTTATTAGTGCAAAACATACTGTTAAGTTGAAGTATTTTGTGTTGAAGAACATCAAAGTACTTAAAAGCACGTGCGGAGAGTGAGCACCGAGTTGTTTACTTTCCCAAAGGTGCTCTTCCTCGACCCTAGTCACTATGTAATCTGTAAATTGCGTAATTAAATAGTTTGTGAAATGAGCGTTGGAGTAATTTACGTGAATCATTATAGATGACCGTGAATTTTCTGCATATATCGTTCAAACATTCGGTGAATTTCTCGTAGTAGGAATCACAAAATATGTTATCGATTCGACCATTTTCGTATAAGAATTGTTGAATACCTGTAATTCTTCCAATTAAAAAAATGCGGTTTAGGCGTTTATAGTATTACCTAAGCACAAATAGTATATGGTATCAGGGGCGTATTCAGCACCGTTGGGTTTGCGAACCTCGTTCACGAATAAGCATAGGGAATAATTCAATTCATCAGCTGTAAGTTGGAGCAGTTCCGTTTTGAAGAGCTTCAATCGTTGCGAAGATCTTTCTAGATCGATGTTTTTAGTGGTAACCCATTGCTTCCAAGCGTTCACTCCGAATGTGTACTACAAAACAAAAAATGTACACGATCCCTCGCTAAGACTAAAACAACCTTCATACCTTAAGACACATGTTAGCATCTGGCTTCTCAATAGGTTCCAATGGTAAATCTTGTATTGTAGGCAACGGTGGATTAACTTTCTTAGGTTTACGTGGGTGGTTTTGTCGTAAGCGAGTATTTCTTCGTGGAATTACTGGTACAACAATATCTGGACAAATTTATACGTATATAAAAAGATTACGAAAAACACATAATTACCACTAGGTCCTGGCTCGTGATGCGTTGGTACTATCTTGCTGGCCTTTAGTTCACCTTCCAAGTCGATCGGTGTATTGTCAAAGTCAGTAGCCATTTTTAACGCGATTTGCAACATATCCTCGTTAAAAGCATCGCCCTCAGAACTGTAACTCACTTCTGGTAGATTTTCCTCTGTATCACTATCAGGTTCATTATAAGGATCTTTTTTCTCTGCTATAAGCTCAGCCATCATCAATAATTCAGCCTCATAAGGATCCGTCGGTCCTTTAACATAATCTACTTTAGCCTCTTTAAGGATGTTGGCCGCTGTAGATTTTGTTAAAGGAATTAATACTGGACAAGGTATGAATAAAGGAAAAGGAATAGGTTTTAGTATTGGAGCTTTCCAGGCCCACATAGGGGAAGGAATGTAGATAGGTGTTATTATTGGTGAAATCTTGTTTTCGTTTCCAGGAATATCCGTTTGGCATGAAACATGAACGACATTAAATTTCATAGAAGTAGACTTCGTGCATTTTGATGGGCTAACAGAAGTCGCAACGTTTCTTATATCTGGATAATCCGCTTGTCTGACAATAACAATCTTCTTGATTGTCGCTTCTACAGGTGTTTTGTTTTTCGCCGACGGTGCCAGCGAGCAGACATTGGTTATAACCGGGAGTGTTCCTTTATTCGCTAAAATTATATTTATATTTCAAGTTCACTTCAAATCTGTTCGATCATATTACCTTTAGGACGACCTCGCGTTGCCTTCTTCGTAGGTGGCCTTGCTTGTAGAGATGTTTGATACATGCTGATGCAATGATTTGAGCAGAATGTGTAAGTAACTCCATTTCCACATTTCACGTCGTAAATTCCTACATCCTTAAAGCAGAAATGACACGAGGACCCTTTATTTATAATGGAATCGGCACTGACCTTCAGCAAGTTCATACAATGGAGAGAACATGAGAAAATGTTTATACCGAGAAAATTATTTTTCTGTATCATATCGAAGTTGTACTTTTTTACTTTGCACCAAACGCAGGGCATTACCCTTCTATGTGTTATTATGTAAATGTGTTGGCATGTCTCTGAACAAAAGTAGTGTATACTGTTGTCATAATACAGAGCATTACTCTCTAAGTATTGTTGTAGCACATACTTACAACAGGTATGACATTTCTTAGGAGAGTCACAATTTTGTATAAATTTGAATACTGTAAAGCATTCCGTCGAACAGAAATAAAACATAGATCGGTGGTAGTCAAATTCGATTTTGATTGATTTATCATTCAATTTGCAAACATAGCAAACTACTTCATTTGAATTAATCAAAAATGGCGTCTTCTTGGGATTTTGTAGAAATTCAAACATACCTTTACAAACTTCACTGCAAAAATATTTATTTCCAATATTCGTATTCAGGTCTTTCAGACCTCTTTGGCAGTAAGAGCATATACGTATTTTCTTTTTCTTAGCTTCTAAGCACGTACCGCTGCAGAATTGCTTGACTATGCAACCAAATCGGACCGAATATTTACCCATTTGTCCGAATGCGACTGGTGCTCTGCATTCGGCGCATACGGTGCTAAGTTTCTTTTGATATCTATCTGTAATTTGTTAAACTGTTAAAAGTGAATATTCTAAATTAACATATTACTTACATAGACAATGCTCTTTGCAAAAATCCATGGCTTCCCATGATAACACGCCAGGTACATTTAGCAGCTTGGCAGCACATTGTTTGCATTGCCTTACATACTTATAATTGGAGTCAATTTGAACAGGACAATAGAATTTGGTAAAGTATTCCTTGACACTGACAACCACTCCAGTGGTTTGTAATTGGTTTAGGCATTGGTCATGGCATATATAAGATCTTTCTTCACATGACCTACAACTATATTTAACTACTTTGGACTGAAACATTAAAATCAATTAGATTAAACACCAATTGCCAGGAGAGCTAGCTACATTATTACAAATCATACAGAGTTGCTTCATTTCTGTATTTTGAACTTCCACATAGTATACATTGCGTTGTTGCTCTTCCAATAGCTCTAAATCAATGTGGACAATCTCAGGAACTGTGGGTTTATTGGGCACTCTTCTAACTTTTACAGTTTTGATCAAACTGACTTCAGGTGATACCTGCACAACTGACTCAATGGCAAATGGATTATTAGTGTTGTGGGTTTTAAATTCATCTGGAGTGTTCATTTCTGAGGTAACATGATCAAAAATCTGCCTTGATGTAGAAGGCATGTCTCTCCTATTTCTGCCAGTGTCCCTTCTGGAGTACATTGCTTTCTGGCGATTTAACTGAAATTTAATTTATATATTAAATATAATTAACATACCACATTGAGGTTATGTTTATAATCAAAACTTACAGACATGTTGCCTAATTATTATTGTATTTGTGGAACAAATTTACTTATTCCATTATAATATTAATATTTGAATTCAGTTCTTGTTTTTGGCATTACCATTGGGCATTACAGAATAGGCGGCATTTCGTTTGATACTAAACAATACTAAACGAAATATTATCATTGGATCATTGTTAACATAATAGGTACCAACTTAAATGTTGTTTGGAAGCAGTTGGAAGCACTGTTTGGAACTCAAAAAAAAATTGTGACTAAGTTCTTACTAGACTTTGCTGACCATTGATGACTCGATTATTCAATGCGAAGACGATTTTATTATTTCAAAGGTGGTATATTTGATGCAAACAATGGATTTGAATGGATTCTTAGAAAATAATCTATAAAAGGTGGAGCCGGTATTTCGAAGGTTATGGTTATGGCTATGGGTGTTCCTATGTACACGAAGAGGGGGCGCTAACAGACCCTTTGCCTGTGCAAGTGGTGGCAACATTGCTGTCGCAAAGGCGGCGTTGCTTGTGGCCGGAGAGCACAGCAAGTAAAATATGGCTGCATGCTAGCTGCTATTTTTCTTTATTGTTTGCCAACGTATTTGAAAGATTTAGTAGTGGTGTTTGATAAAGTCAGTTACAGGAAACCAAAGTGTGGAGAGTGTAAAGTACAAATATCAACAAGGATTCCACCTTCGGTAAGATCTTCAGCTCGTACATTGATATTAAGGGACGGGGGAGAAAATCATTTAACCGGCCTGCACCTCCCTTAATAATTAACTCCCGGCTAAACTGCAAAGTTCCGAAAAATAATCAAAATAACAGCAACCCTCCAAAACAATACGTCCTCATCCAAGACAATAAAATCAAGATCCGAAGATTTCCTGATCAATACTAAATCCGAGATTATTTCATCACATCATCTGTACATTTGAGTGTCTCAAGAGCAGACCCCCAAGAAAAATTCGCTAACCTTCTTACATTTCAGATTAAATTATATAAATTAGTTATAATATGATGCGACATCCAGAGCACCATCATGTTCCTCCCACAGCAATGCAAAGAAATAGGCAAGTTTTTAGATAAACAAAAGTCACTAATTTTTATTTAGTATTATGTTTATTTTCATTTTATTTCTGCATGGTTTTTCTGTAATATCTTCACCAATTTATGTGCTATTCTTTTCACTCTTTACCCAACCAACTTTGGTATTCATAATATTCACCTGGTACTAACAATAATGTTATTTATAAAAGAACATGTAATATCAAAGAAATTTAGACTTGTGGTAATTCCGTTATTTTAAATTACTTATTTGCATAGTCAGCGATCTTTTGTTTCTTTCTTTTTTTTTAATGGTCGAAATAAGTAGCACTTCTGACAGTATTCGGGTCGACCTAGCGCGGGGTCGCTGCTAATTTCAATCAAGCATAATACCTGTCAAATCCATTTTCACTTTGTTAATTATGTATATATCTTTGCTTCTGCTTATTAACTTTTTCTCTTCTTTCAATTTAAAGACCTCTTGGAAATAAAAGAGCAAAATTCTATAAAAATATATTTGGTTAATTGAAACCAATCGATTTAAAGCTAATTATTGCGAATTTAATTCACGTTCTTTGGTGATATATTAGCTTTGACATAACTCGAAACGGATACACGTAGAACCGACAGTGTTAACAACCTAAATTCGATTCATACATTTTGATTGCTGGATGAAATCAAGTATGTGTGTGAGCAATTCGGGATTAAACTAACCGGGAAGCTGAGTTTAGCAGCTACAACACTTAATTATCTAGTTCCGGAGAATTTATACCCATTCGTGTTTTTAATTGGAACACATTGCGTTACTTATAAAATTAGTTCTAACCTTATATTAACACTATGTATGTAATACATCAATATTAATTTTAAGGCAATAATCGTTAAATTACAGTGATTTCTTTACATTTTTAGAATACAAATAACGGTAAAATTTCACTCAAAACAAATGGAAACGAAATAACTGTTTATTTTTAAAAGCTTTATTTGACTTTATTTAATCTCATTGCAATTGAATTAATTTGGTTTAAAGTTCTTGGAAGCTTTATTAAAATTGGTGTGATATACCTGAAACCTAGTGCCTTTTTTTCCCGCCATCACTGCAAACTTGGTATACAATTCCGGTCCTTCCGCAAACTGGTATGTGTCATTCATTCATTCCTCTTGTATAAATTCTTTGGAAAAGATTTTTATTAACAGAATAGAATTAAATTATTCATGTTTTGGAAATTGTTAATATCGGTTAAAGAAGAAAGTTATGTATGTTTTTTATAAATATAAATTTCTGTATTTGTTTACTGCGAAGTTAAAAATACGTGTACTATAAGTCTTAATAAGAATCAGCCGAGTATTTCATAATGGGGAAATCTCGAAAGGCAGCGGGAATAGCCGAAGTTGAGGTTTAGGATGAATCATGCTTGGAACTTCAAGTCCTAGGTTAAAGACATTCTTGTTGTGTTCGATGAAAATGTTAATATTAGGAATGCGGCAATAGAGGAAGTGCCAAAAAGTTGTTTTCACAGCGCACGTAAGGGACTAGTTTTTTTGGCATTGCTTTTAAAAGCATTACTATTAAGATTTATGTGCAAACAAATGCAATTATTATACTTTCATCTTTTTTTTCTCTCAAATAATAACAATCTACTTAATATATAAATAAATCTTTGTTTAATTTTTGGATATAATTCCTAACTCTTCAGTGGTATCAAATCATCTTTGCTTTTGTTCGTTCTTTGTAAGCTTATTGGTCCTGTATCTTAACTTACTAACAACTATGTGACTTGAGAGTATCATTATTAGTTATTCATGTCTGGGAAATGTCTGTACATGTGACGAAGCGGGAATCAATTAATGATTAGATGAAACAAACAAAAACATGAACCATTTTGCTTTATAGTTTCGAATGGAAACCAAAATCACATGGTGTAGGTTGAAGGCTTTTAATATTCAGATGTGATATTTTTCTTTCTCAAATGCCACTTACACTCAACCCCCCTCCCAGCTGTTCGGTAAGTTATCAACATATTTCTTTTAAATAAGATCTTAAATTGCGGTTGATTCAGAGCGGACAACTCGAATTATTTATAGATTTCACGTAATCGAACGACGCGCGCGCTATTGATTTTCTGCCGCTTCATTAACACTTTCACTGTTTACCCTTAACACGCATACCCCAAAAAAACTTCAGAAATTTATCATTTATCCAATGCAAAGATTGCTTTGCGTTGCTTAATGCATAATAATAGCGTTATTATTTTAAGATGTTTCTTGGGTGTACGTCATAATACATCAATAAGTTGCTAGACATATGCTCACAGTTCTTGCGCTGTATTTTGTATTTGAATATTCAACAATGTGATTTCTATACATATTTGTGATTTTTGTTAAGAAACTATTTTTTTTTGCTTTGAGCTTATTTATGTTCTATATACATCCTGATCTCATAGATTATTTATGAACTGTATTAATTATTATCTTTTAAAAAAGTACAGTTAATTGTTAGAATGGTATAAAAATAAATGATTGAAAATGGATAAATTAATAAAGATATTATGGGTTGGGTTAACAACGATTGATTTGAAGTGCAATATAATCGTTTAATATTGATGTAGGTTGTGGTTAAATAAAAGAAAAAAATAGGAATGCAGTCTGCAGAAGAAATTGGTATTGAAGGTGGAGAGAGTATGTAGCGTAGAGAAAATGTCGATTGAATGGTGTAATTAATATTGTTGATTTTGATGTAGAATGAACATGCAACAAATGGGTCCTCCGCCGCAGAGGATGCTGATGACTGTACCAGGTGGTCCACATGCCGGTGTTCTCGTGTCTATGCCGTCGGGTCCGACCCTGGTGAACACGATAACACCGATACAACAGTTTGCAAACTCAAAGTCAAACATTAATAATCCAGTATCGCAAGTATATTATGATCCAATTTCAAATGAGGCTACGGAACTGTCAGTGGAACAAATACAACAAATACAACATCAGCCATCTCAACTCGCAAATACCACTACTTCTTCAACCGTGCCCAACTTGGCAAACATGAAAGAGAAAACACCAATGTGTTTAGTAAACGAACTAGCTAGATACAATAAGATCCAGCACCAGTATAGATTGACCGGCGAACAGGGACCGGCTCATAAGAAGATATTTACAGTCACATTGAAGTTAGGCGAAGAGGAGTACGAAGCTGAGGGGGCCAGTATTAAGAAGGCACAACATTCGGCGGCGGCTTTGGCTCTGGAGAAAACACAGTTTAGACGACCGCCGCCAAAGACGAACAGGATCTTGAGGACCGGTGGAATCCGTGGCAATTCCACCGGTATGGTCACACCGACTGTAGAATTAAATGCACTCGCGATGAAACGGGGCGAACGCACGGTATACATCGTAGAGAACGGCGCTGCACCACCAGCCCAGGTTAGTACTTCAGTAAACCCATGAACGAGCTTAGTCTAATTTCGTAATGTTATATATCTTTCCGTAGGGCTATATATTACCGAACGCGTATTACGGTCGCCAAAATATCTATCAACCGCCTGGACAGCCACGTTACAACAGCTTTGAAACAAGAAGAAACATGCGCGGCCAGTATCAGTATGATCGCCATCATGGTCAGTATAAACCAGGTTATCAACAAAACAACGGTGAAATGTGTACGGTTCGTTTAAGAGTAGGTGAACGCGAATATCCAGGTTCAGGGTGTACGATTCAAGCGGCCCGTCATGATGCCGCCACAAAAGCTATCGATGAAATAAAGAAACTTAAAAGCGAAGAGGCCGCAGCCGAGAACGAGGAGACCACCAAAGACCAAGATCAAGACTCAAGCCTTTCGGACATTAACACGGAACTCAAGTCACCTATATCCCTGGTACACGAAATCGCCTTGAAGCGACATCTGAATGTCAGCTTTGAGGTGAAGAGTGAAAATGGACCCCCTCACATGAAGGTATTCGTCACACAGTGCAAAATAGGGGACTGCTCTGTAGAGGGCGAGGGCAACGGCAAAAAGGTCTCGAAGAAACGTGCTGCAGAGGAGATGCTCAAGAAGCTGTCGCAGCTTCCGCCATTGCCAAACATGAACAACGTAACCCACCTAAAGCGCAAACGCGTCGCCACTAAGAAGAAAACAAGGAATCTCATCAAAGTCAACGCGGACAAGCCCAATGACTTTGTTGAAGATATTAACCCAATTTCTCGCCTAATTCAAATACAGCAAGCCAACAAGGAAAAAGAGCCGGTCTATGCAGTCGTGGAGGAACGCGGAGCTCCGCGCCGTCGAGAATTTGTCATACAGGCCTCTATCAATGGGTGCTCAGCGAACGGAGTCGGCCCCAACAAGAAGTATGCGAAGAGGAATGCAGCCCAAGCTCTTCTCACACTGATGGGCTACATCACCACATCTCCATCTCCTACAGGAGCCAGCAAACAACAATCGCAGCAGACGTCACCAACACAAACACAACAAGAAGCAAACAAGGTATTTCTAACTAATAAACCCTTATTACTGAAACAACAACACTAAAACGGTTTGAAAACAGTCCGAGAAGGAAACGGAACAAACAACGACAGCACAGCAAGCGGACAAACTTAGGAAAGTCACGTTCCTCGAGGAGAAACAAGAATCTCCACCAGTTGGAGGCAGCGGCGGCCGCCAACTGGTCCCTGGTCTTCTCCTTGTAGGGGACCAATCAGTACACGTAAATCGGTACATCTCTAATCATCCTAAAATTAATATCCATTCCTTACAGAACAACAAGTCGAAAGCAACGGCCGAGAACACCAACTACAGCTCGTCCGAAACGAAGAAATCAGTTCCCAAGGTAGCTCCGCCTCCACCACAGGGCGTACGTTCCAAAGATCAGCTATTGTATTTGGCGCAAATCATGGACATCCCAATACAGTTCTCCGACTTTCCGAAAGCGAATCACGAGATGTACCTCACATTGGTGTCATTAAGTACAACCCCACCTCAGGTAAGTTAATTAAACAAAATACATACTAAACAATCAATCAACAATCGTAATAAAATTACAGGTTTGTCATGGCGAAGGGCCAACAATCGAAGCTTCGCACGAGAAAGCCTCATTGGAAGCTTTGAACGTGCTGTCAGAAATGGGACTAGATAATATAGCGCCGAGCAAGGAGAACAATTCAGAAATGTAAAGTTCTTTCTATGTTTACATATCTTATAGCAAATTACTTTACATTTCAATCATTATCATCGGAACATATAATTGTAATTTCTTTTTGTCGCAGGCCGAAACCTCAGGTTGCTGGGTTGTCTCAGAACGGTAACAACAATTAGATCATTGCATTGCATCCTCGACTATATAAACTCACAAAAAAAATAAGAAAAAAAAGTGAACAAGAAAAATAAAACGAAAAAAAAGAAGAGATAAAGCGAAAACCGAGTAATTAAGTTATATTTCATTTGTTTGTTGGATTTAGAGAAAAGACGAAAAGAAAAGAGAGAAAAAAATCAAGAAAAGGAAAAAAGTCGTTTGTTTTTATTTGTAAATTATTGATTTTTGTTATGGTTATTTATTATATTATTTTTTGGCCATTCGGGCAATTGTAACTAAGAATTATTTATTATCATTACTCTATGTGATTTCATAACATTACCATGCAATGATATCATGTAACTTATATGTAATTCTTGTTATTTATTGCTTCATACGGGGAGGCGCACCGGTGCTGTATAACCGTGAACGTCTCCCCCTATTTCCGCGGTGACGCTTTAGGGCAAAAGCGCCACGTGGACTATAACTCTTATATAACACAGTAGTTCAGAATTGGTATTATCGTTATTGTATAGGGTGTTTCAAAAGCAAAACAAATATATGTATTAATGAACAAAAAATACTGATACAAAACTTCCCTCTGTGACTAGGGAGATTTCGTATTAAAGATTTAATAGAGTAATATATGGAAACGGAAGAGAAGTGAAGGAGATCACTTGGAAAGTATTAAATGAAAATGTAGTATTTTCGCAGCATTTTTCATATATAATTAATGTATGTGTATAAAAAAAAAGCGAACAATTCGTTGAGACATCCTGTATAAAAGAAGCAAAGAAATTATTTCTATTTATCTAAAAAAAATAATAATATCGAAATGTAAGTGGACGAAGAGATCATCATTATACAGACTTTACTGTCCGCATTGTTTAATTTTAATAGTAGTTTTTTGTTTGTTTGTTTTGTTTCCTATTGTTTTGGTTTATTTATATTAGCAATCGCAATTCTGACCTGCTGAAATTGTATCCTCATTGATTTCAGTATTTCAAAGGCTTCGTATTTATTTTTACTAGTATTCCATGCTAAAAGAAAATCATATTGATCCTTAACATTGTACAATATATATATATTATTTTTTGTTAATGTATTTTATTTATATGACTATATATATATATCTACATGTGAAGAAACTAAATGGAAACAAATAATTTGATGTACGTATAATTGCCACATTTGAAATTGAAATCAATAAAAGAAATTATAAAATTAATAATTCCTATTCTTTATTATCTTTCCTTCTCAAATTGGTAGGTAAACAGGTAAATCATGGCTCCCTTCATATATCAGAATTTTTCAGCGGCGACTAAAGTCTATCAAGCGAATCGATGTTTGTTTGCGTCTGCTTGTCCTATTTGATGTAATTATTGGTGAATAATAGATTAAAGCGTTTGGAGATGTTAAGAGAAGATTGCTTGAGCGTGTTCGATATACGTGCGTCTATCTCAGAACGAACTTTATGTTAATACATCAGAATTTTCGTGACGCCCCTGTAGTATATACAAAGCGCACAGTTTAGGGACTCCTAGATTAGAAGATATACAATCATGATAATTTATGTTTTTACTCTGACTCTTATATACTTGGCAAGTATATAAGTGTATTTGCAAGTAGTCGTGATAAAATTATGAAGAATAGCAACGGTAGCAGTTTGGTTGAATATTTTGATTAAAGGAAATTGATTTAATGGTAGAAATTATTCTTAATTTGTTTAAGAAAGTTAAACTAATTTTTGTAAGGTGTTGAAATGCTTTTGAATATTTGGGTGTGCATTTATGTAAGGAAAGCTGTGATCTTATAAAGTGGTTGAGCTTCAGTCAATTTAGGTGTTATTGAAGTACCCTTAGAGAGTTGTTGAACTATTTAGCTTATCTAATATAGTTAGCTTGGGTCAAACAAACGCAATTTCGTTCTTGTTGAGATATGATATTTTTGCTTCAGTTAGGCAACTTTGTTAGCTAATGAAGCGGCGGTGGAATTTTAAAATAAGTTGAGGCGTCTGCGAGGGATAAAAGGTCGAGTTAGTAGAGTGCGCAAAGGCCGCGCGGACGTTTCCATTGTGTCCAATTGGCGAGCGGCAAATTCTTTTATTATTTATTTAGCTTTTGGAGAGCGCGCGCGAAAACAATAATCCATGAATCGGCGCGCGATCGTCGTCCAAAAGCAACCAAAACCATACCAAAAGCCGACTGAACGCCACATATTCGTCTCGTAATTGCCGAGAGCGACCCGCGGTTTCTTGTCGCTACATCTCACTAAGAAAAACACAAATAAATAAAAGAAAAGGAATCTGTATACACGAAGAAAAAGAGAACAACAATTATAACAACATTTCCATCTGCTTTCCTCAACTTCTGGGATTACCAAATGCGCCAAAGTACGTGACCTTCCGCAGTAGTGCACCAGGACCTCACTCAACGCAACCTTCCGAGATGACAGAATCAGGAATCGACTTGGGTTTTGACCTGTCGGCCTTCATGACCGACGACGCGGATCTCCAGAACCTGCTAGATTTTGATGATCTTCTGGGGACACCGAAAAACCAGGAGTTCTATGAGCTAAAGTCCAAAACCATGCCGGTCACCGAGAGGTAACTTCACACGCCTCCCCCACAACAAATAACAATACAAATAATGTACAAAAAAAAAACGAGTTACAAAACCAACATAATGTTTTGGTCGATCACATGACACGTACAAATGTGCATTTTTTATCATTTGCGGAAACGCCGATCATTCTGTTACCAATTGCTCGCAGCAGCCGATACAGATTGGCTTATGTAATCGGAGCGCAGTGCGCGCACCATGAGTAACGCTCAGGGATTTCCCCTGTCCGTGATTTGCCCCTTCGGATGCGCGCAATTCTTCAATGACGCAAGTTCTTCAATAACCAGTTTCATAAAACTTTTTCATCAAAAAAAAAATATACTAATAAATAAAACAATCGGATACTTTGTAGCTCAACATGTATACATTATTAATTGTTCGTTGAAATCTCGATTCCAGTTTTCGAAGAAAACATTTGCATTTAAATAATTCCCATTTCAATGTTTTAATGTTTTGTAGACGTAACTTTTATTTAACGTCTATATTTTTTTATATACTACCCTTGTACTTGCATCCGTGTTTCGATCTCAGCGTCTCGCAATTATCCTATTAAAATGAAGTAACTTTAAAATAGGACAATTATTGTATGTCATTATCACCATATTCTTGGCAGCGGTTGGTTTGTTTGCTTTAAATTTTTTTTTGCTCTCTTATTATATTTTTTTTTGTCGGGAATTTTGGACCTCTTCCACCGAGCATCATCGATTCGATGATTATTTCCAATTATAGTTTGCGTTTGTTTATTATTATACTGCGAATGTTTGCGTAATAGGTGGTTGTAGTGTTGATGTAGTTTCTTTGTTTCGGAATGCCGCGGGCCTTGGGAATACCTGTCTACTAAGTAGAGAACCAGAATAGAAGCGCCAAGTTCTAGGCTATCTCACGGTATTTGGGAATCGACGATCAATTATTATCCTAACAATAATTGATATATACGAGATGGACCACAAATTAAAAAAAAAATACTTTGACCAGTGATTTTCAAGTTGTGTTAATATTCATGCTCAATGATGCAAATTCCTACGTTATGTATGGTAATTACATCAAGAAAAACTTGTTAATTGCATAATAAAAAAAAACTGGTCATTAATTGGAAATTAATGATTTCGAAGGATAACTTTTTTTACCAAATTTTGTATTAAATTTACAAAACTTTATTATACTTAATTGTTTAATTTACTTACATAGAATTTTGAAGATTTATTCTACATTGATTAATTCAATTTGCATGTGATTACAAATGACATTATTATTTAAAATTATATAATATATAAAGGTTAAAAGTCTTCTTACAGACATTGTATTTATTTTTTACTGTATTTAAACAATTCAACTTATAATTATTTTTCCAGTTGAAACTATAGTGAATAAGCAAGCAGATAATTGGAATATATTTTCCTTTGTTACGCTCAGTGACTCATATTACTTTCTTCGTGTTTTTTTTTACTGATAATATTTTGTTAACTATTTGCAATGCTCTAAGCCACAGAGGAAATTACGAAATGATATATATTATCAAAGATATTTGAATGAATAATTTATTAAAAAAAAACTCTCATTATTCATTAATTGTTATATTTTGTTCATGTTCTATGTACATTTATAATTCATATTTTATGTAATTTCTGTTTAAAAACATAATTAATCTTTGACAGAAAGTAAAAAATAAGAATTTTCGAAGAACTGAAATATATTCAATTTAGTGAATATAGTAAATTAAAATTGATATAAAATTCTTTCTATTTTTTTTATATAACTGAAAAATTTAAGTCTAAAATTAATTTTGCAATTGTATTTTTGTCGATTCAATTATATGTTAATAGGTGTTGGGTATTGAATTTGGCAAGTTTTGTTGTATGAAAAGTTCCTTTGAACTTCTGAGCGTTTGCTTTTGCAATTTGGAAAGTTCACGTTGATGGATGGATGGAAAATGCATTCTCTGGGGCCTAGTCCATCGCGAAACTGGCAATCGTCATGCTTTTGATGTGGCGTCTGCAATGTGAAATATCGAGTATACAGACAGCCTTACTCAATGTTCACAGCGTTCGAGACTTAATTACAAATGCACTTATGACAGTTTCCTAGTTCTGATTAAACTCGGGTTAACCATTGGTAGTACAATGAACCTATCCAAATAGAAAAATTGAATCGAAAATGTATTAGAAAAAAAAAGTAGCATCTGTGCGTGTGGAATATCTAAATTTAAAATAGTATACAAATATAATATCTTTACGAAATGAAAAAAAAAAAGCACAGACGCATGGGCGCAAAACTAAAAATACTTGTCTGTGAATCACGACTTGCGAACTATTCAGAGGATGTTTCTGTAATTTACGTGTAATCGGTTTAGCGTCGGTACAATCGATTTTGGTAATGAATTCCAAAAATAGGAGGAAGAGCATGAAGCAGATAATAAGTGCGAGAGTAGAATGGGCGAAAATTATTAGACATTGGCACCGGTCCGGAAATAGATCAGTCCTTCGAGTGGGTTCGCAGACGGCGTAGGCGAAATTACAAGCAGGCCCTAAATCAAACCCGCGAATGTGAATGTGAAGGAAGAGAAACAGATTGATGATGGCAGCGATATCTTCACAGCCGATGAGGAACCTTAGAGTCCAGCTGGGCATTGATGAGGATCTCAGGATGATCCTTGAGATGGACCCGAGCATCGTAGATCTGGAAGGGCTACCGTGCGTGCCTACGCCCAAAGTCACCGGACTACCCCCAAAAGCTGGCGGGTAGGTGTCTGTATGTGTTTTCCCACGGACGTTGTAATGTTTTCTTGCCAGCAACCCGCGAATGCGGTTGCATTATCAGGTGATTCATAGAATCGTCAGCTGACGATTAAAGGAATTAGGAATTTGTTATCAATTTTGGCATGACAAAGGATGAAAAGTTGCGGCAATATTAAACTTCTATTATCGTCAGCTGTGTTTACCATGGACGGGGTTCATCGTTTTGCGGGCGTCGATAAGAAGATCAGGATGAAGAATAACGAGAAGATAACTTATACGCGCTGGAAGAGAAGAAAGGCTTCAACTTTGAACCGAATCAATCGAATCGGATTCCGATCAATTACCGTTTTCATCGTAGCATCAAACCAGATACACACGTAGACAAAAACACAACCGAGAATTTTGCGCAGCTTGAAATCCCCAAACCTAAAAATAAGCCCAACCTAGGTCCTTTGCCAATAATTTATCGCGTGGAGCAATACTTGGCAATTGCACGTCGAACGTGACAAAATCCATAAAGGCACATTTTGCGGTATTTTCTCTACGCTCAACGAGTGCAACTTTTCTTCTATACTTCATTTTCATTATTATTATTATTATTTATTTTTTTTGGAGCGCCTTAATGCTTTAGCAAACACTCCGATTTACGACATTAAAATATTTGGTGGCATTGTAATCATCGTTGTTGACGCATCGAGTAATGTTTAATTAACAGACCATATAAAATGCTCTAATACGAAGTGTCCACAGATCGCTTTAAGTCTTGACTAAAACTTTCTCGCAACTAGAGAGCCAAGGTTCTAGAAGCAAAAATGATGTACTGTTACTACTTAAAAAAAATATAAATATAATAGATGTATAGAATTGATCTTGGATCCACCCGCACCGGCGTTGTCTCATCTAATTTTAGACATTGCTTTTGTTGCTCTGCTCTGTGGGCAGATCGACATGGCAACGTAATTGTAATAAAATACCGGTTTTCGCTAACCGTTCGTTAATTAGTTACATTAAGGCGGTCATATTTGTTAATATCATTGGCACATACTAAAAATACGCTCGAACTGTGTTCCATCAAATTTTATACGATTGATTCCATTTGTACAAGATCACTAAGTTGCGAATATTTTCTTTTTGTTTGCGATATTTTTAGATAGGGGAAAAAAACGAAAAATGTACACAGTAGTAATGATGGCAGATTCCTATGGTTATCATATGGTGTAATATTTGTCTTCCTATTTCGATGCATCACAGAGATCATTCACATACGTGCAAATCGCATATGCCAACCGACATCAACCACTATAATCACGTTAATTCCATTTATAATGTACTGAAGATAAGCGGATGTTTAATGTCTCGCGTACGTCAAGTTCACTAACTGATACTACATACATGTACTTTTCATTTCACTGGATACACATTCTATTTATTAGCATACACTTATATCTCGTGTATAGACTCGATATAAGCATATCGATAAAATGGAGACACTGTCTTAAACAAATATTAAATAAAAGCTATTAATTTTGATTAAGTATATATATTCATTATAATTTTATTTATTTTTTGTATGAAATTCGACTTACGACTATTTCGAGTTAAATTAAAGGTTTAAATGTTTGAAAAATATAATAATTACTATTTACATTTTGTTATAATCAAACAACACAATGTATTTAAGATGAGCAATCAATCAAGTTGTATTGGGCAATGTGAATCAAAAATTTGACATTTCCAAATACCTGTTTTGGATTCAAAATAAATAACAAATTTATCGAAAAGAAACGAAAGGTTAAGCAATTTAGCAAAGAAAATTCGCAACTTTTGATCGTGTAAGAAAACTAGTTTTTAATGCAAAATTAATTTAACTTTGAAGTTTTTTTTTTATTTATTTAACTAATATTGTTACAAAATTAATTCTATTTTCAAACATATAATGATATATGTATCTATAGATGGAAATAAGTAAAATAAATAATAAATTTTCATGTAACTAAAGAAGACTAACAAACAAATGTCAAAAGTGGGATAAAGTTCTGATGGAAGTTTTGATTACAGCCCACCGAATTTGAAAACTGTCAATCCATTATCAAGGACTCAATTGAAACTGCAACTTATGAGGGAACAGGCTATGCAGGAGCAAGAACGTAAGCAGAATCAGGAGCGGATGGAGAAGAGTCAGCAACAAGAGCAGATGAGTTCTATGAGAGTGCCGCTGCATAACATCGCCGTGGAAGTCCCTCCGCAGGTGTTGCAAGTGAGTTGGGACCATCTGTTAAATTTTCTGAAGAAGAAATAAATCAAGTTCTGTTGCTAGGTGCAAACCAAACTGGAGAACCCGACCAGATACCATGTGATACAGAAGCAACGAAGCCAGGTCCGCCAGTATTTAAGCGAATCATTCCAGCAGCAGAGCAACTCCTTGCTACCACCTGGAGGAGGCTCGCTGGCAGCGGACTTCACACCTATAGGAAGCTTCAATTTCAATACCTCATCAAGTCCAAGCGAGGTTCATGCCATGTCTCCAGCACTTAGTTCAGCCGCTACAAGTACATCAGGGGTGAGTGTGATTTAGGCAACCAAACGCACAAGTTTCAAAACAAAGCGAAACTTTAATTTCAAGTTCCCCTTCTTTCCTCTTCTCTATTGTTGTTTAAAGCAGCAACAACATCAACAAAAGCGAAACTTTCCAAAAAACCCGAATGACACACATAAACTGCTAATGTAGACGGAGAGAGTGTGTCAGAAAAATTGATTGATATTTAAATTTCGCTCCGATATCGATACCAAATACTACCGAAAACTATTCTTCTAGAGCGCTAACACCGATTCCAGGATGATTTCGTCAAATCCTATTAAATTTAGCCTTTCCCATGGAAGTTCAAATCGGCTCGCCAATAAAGATTATTTAATCCTCTTTTGCATAATCCTTGATGGTTAATCGATTAATAGCGTCGTAAAGCTGCGAGTTATCAGTCAGACACGTTTATGAACGAAGAAATCGCTTGAAAAATATAAATTAATGCAGCATTTCCGTTCGAGCATAATGGGATTATTTTGCTCCTCCTCCATTAGAATCAGTTCTAATCTGGTTTGCAATTAATGCTAGTGTCAATATTTGTATAGATTTTGAGGTAATAATGGTCGGGGAAAAATGTCGATTATGTAAGGATTAGCGTTCGAGTGCTGATACTGTTATGCATTTACACGTTACTCCTTTTTTCCGTTCGCTGTTGTTCGTATCCTCCCATTTAATGTGTTCTTGCAACACTTATTATAAATAAGTACACGCTACGATGTATACGTTTACTTTTTTTTATATCTATATACTTACATTTATATATCTATATAAATAAATATATGTACGTATATAGTATTTCTCTTCATTTGTTTGCAAGAACGGAAATAGATGTGTAATATTGTCCACAGGCGCCTCACGGCGTTCGAAATTTGCTTAAAACATTTGCGATTACTTAATAGTTATACGGTCGTTAAAAAAATCACTACACATTTTAAATATAATAATTAAATTATCTTGTTGTTGTAAGCTCGACCTTGTGCGTCAGCCTCGCGTGCAATCCTTAGCGTTACATCCCCGTCTACCTAGGATTGCTTACGCAACATCCCGAAAAACCTGCTCCTGGACGACTCTATTTAAGCAACAACTGCTCCTTCAGTACACTTACGTTATAAATACATGTTTTGTTGCCTCTGCTAAAATACATTCTTCATCCTGGCGATCGTAAACTTGCGAAGAAAATTACATTCGTAATGGGTTTTCGAATCCCATTTGCTTTTTGCACTCGCTCTGTATATTTCAATTGTCGTTTTACGTACACTTCTTTTTTTTGTTTGTTTATTTTCTTTTGTTCGGGCATTCTTTCATTTCTTTTTAATCATGCAGTTGATTGCGATGGGGGTAATTTCACAACGGCAGTGTTGTTTTATCATCAGCGTAGTGAAAGGCGTCACCATTAATTATGCTTGGATTAAGTGGGATTCCAGTAATGAAGAGTAAATAGAGTCATGTCTCTAAGATGTCACTGGATGTGTGCATAGTACGTTCGTAGCTTAATATGTTTACGGTGCGTAGTATTGTTTCTATTTTTATCACACAAAAATATATATGGACATTTTGCGATTTCGGGTAATTACCGAAAACAAGATGCGTAGAACTAGTGATGATGAGAAAACAAAGATTTGTGTGTTTTCAACTAGTTTTGCGCAACTAAAACAAACCTAACAAATTTTAATCCAATTATATAAGAAACGTTTAATACACATTTTAAATCTTAAATCCTATAACTTTTAGCAAATAATCACTAAAATAAATACGTTATTATAATCTGTCATATTTCAATTTCGGAACAATTGCTGGAAATTATCGCATCAATGGACTTTTCTCACATAATAAACATTAAACAACATTTAATTCGTTTCTTCATACGGCGGGAAACAGTATCACTTCTTTCTTTGATTCATCAGGATCAAAGTCTGATTACATTTTAGCTTGATTAAATATTTTATCTTTGACACTCGCATCCAAACATATAGGTTATATTTCTCAGACAGTGATAACCTATGTCTACTTATCACCTGCTTCCTATGTATATAAAAAAAAAGATATTTAGCAATATCGTACCTAATTGAATTATAATGAATTACTTTTTTTTATCACGAACGTGAGTTGGCTCTACACCTAAGATTACCTATAATAATTTATAACCAAGATTATGCTGATAACCTGATTTAACTAATCTCTGGTTTTTTTTTTCGTTTCTTATAATCCTTATTAACGGTTTTATTCTACTATCTCTATGGATATTTTTTACGATCTGTTATAAAATTCAATAAATTTGATTGCGAAATTTGCGATTTTTAGAATTCAACTTTTTTTTTAGTTATAAATGTTGTTATAGTTTCTAAATTTATAACTGAATCTGAGTTGGAGCTTTTAATGTGTACATAAAAATCTGCGATGGTCTTAAATAAGTTATGACTTGATACTAAAAACCTTGATTGTTATTGAAAGCCATAGATATTTTTGTAGTCATTTCTGACGTCTTAACTCATATTATTGCGTCGATTGAATCTCTATAAATGATGAGGTTTTAATGAAGTCCCACAAATAGCTGGACTAGTGCCGGATAATGAATGGAATCATAGTATAACCATGCTACTCGAGCTACTCATCCAATAGCATGAAGTGTACGTACGTCCTCCAATTCTTCGTAACGCCACACGATCAAGGACGTCGCGTTTCCCAAGCCACAGTTATTTGCAACGATAATGACTACTTCAATTTCATTTATCATAATTTCGTTCGAATTGTAAACGCATTCACCGTTAGCTGGTTATGCACATCCTTATGTAACATCCTCGCATTTCACGCTTAGTAGTTTCCGAAAAACAAACGGACGATTAGCAGCGTTCTTCCCCCACGTTACCGGTTACCGGTTTATTCCTCACCGCGCGCGTCTTAATTCCAATGTAAACGCTTGTTACAATGGAAGATATAAACGGCTTGCAATACATGAAATAAATATATAATATAATAAAAAAAAAACATTTAAATAGGTAAACTGTGATAAGGCCACGATGATAACGCAATCACATTTGGCGCGACGGTAAAATGCGACACAATGAGCCAGAAATTTGAAAAAGAAGAACATCTTACTTACTAAGAGAAATATGGTACGGGCAAGCATCGTCATTGAGCTTATAAATACTTTGTACACATATTTGCGTTTATTATATATATAAAAAATTAACATCGCCCGGATAATGTGTTATATAAAATGGATATCGAGATAACTGTTCATAGGGGAATAGGAGGCGCCTTGGCTCCTAAGTTCTGTTTAGTACCAGCAAGGATAGCTTCCCATTCTTCCGGCTATTACTACGAATTAACGCTTCAAATCATTGGGATTCGATCGTCGTCTCGTTACGCATTTTTTTTATTCCATTTAATTGATAAATCGGCGACTGTTGTTGTTTGTTCGCATCAATTGAAATGCAATGAGTAACGATTACGGAGCCACTGAAACCGCCCGCAATAAAAAATAAATAAATCAGGTTTCCATCTTTTTTCCAAGATAAAGGAATGTTGTTTTGTAGATCTCGAGTGAAATGCTTTCAAAGTTACATTTCTAATCGCTAGCTACTTCAAATAATAGCTTCACGATTAAAGTGATTACATTTTATTGAAAATAATTAAAAAAAAAAAAACTATTGTCTAATTTACTTCAATACAAATTTGATTATAAAATTTTGAAATAATTTTACTTCTTATTAATTAATAATTTTATCAAACTATAAGCGTGAATACAATTATTTATTTATATACCGAAAATTTTAAATTATAATTTGGAGAATCAAAAAGTAATTGTAATAATTTTAAGTTTTGTAACTGCATAGGATTTATCAAATGTAATTGTTTAATTAAATCTATTGTCTTCGCCTTAGGCAATTGTTTTCACCGTTGCAATTTAGATAATTACATGTTTTATAACTACTTTGTGGTGACGTTATGATGTTATGATACAATTAACACATAATAAACTAATCAAAAGTCTGCAAACAATGTTTTTAATTTCTGGTTATAAAAAATTCAATTGTTAAGTTAATAAAATGATCAATTATATGAAAAGTTTATATTTAAAAATTAAATAATTCAATTAATTTAATTAATTTAATTATCTTTTTTTTTTTAAATAAAAATGAATGAAAATAAAATGAAATGTAATAGTAGTTTTTCGATTGAATAATTGAATGTTATGAAACGCAGGTCGAGACAACTTTTACTTGCAAATTTGTCGTACGAAGAATTTTAAATGCACTTCGAGTTATGTATTCATGTGCATATACAAATATAAAAATTATGCCATAAATAACGAAAGTGGATTTTCCCTACAAATCTTTCCAGAAACAATCTTGGTCTTTCTTAAAAACGAATTTTTCAAAAACTAGGAACGGCTTATTTAATACTAAATTAAATAAATTCGCATATTTCGCACGAATTGCAATAATTAGGATTTATAAAAAAAACTGGAAACTTAGATTTAATTCTATAATATAATTATTCAAGAAATAAAAGATATCAATGGTTAATTTAATGAAATTAAGTTGGGATTTATAAAACTATTTGTAAGATGTAGTGGATTATAAAATGGTATGATTAAAGTAATGAAAAATAGAAGAGATCAAAATACAAAAACAAAGCATAAGTGTGTTACGTCGCCCATGACATTAAACTATCGCTACATAACAAATATAGCGTGTAGAAAATAACGCAAAGTGAATTAAATTTATCAAACGCTATATGAAATTGAAGCCTTGATAGGACATCTCGAGCATTCGGGAATATTGAGCCTTTAGCGTTTTGGTAGGATTCAATGCACATGGGACAGTCCTCACTTACGACATCAACGAACATAGCTATTATACAATTATCAATATATCTAGTACATGCCTTTGAAAAGGAGAGACACAATTGAATACGAAAGAAAGATAAAGTGCATTTGTTTTGTCCAAATAATTTGGGATTTAAATTCAGTAATG